AATTCGGAGATTTCATCTTTTCCTGAAAGAAATATTAGAGCTGTCAGTTTTTGTGATTTTCTCCTTTTTACTTTTTACAAATTTTTGAATCTTGTTTATCATTATTATTTTTTCATATTCATTCTTTGAGACCCATCTTCCACCATTCCACCAACTCTTGTGACTTGAAATTTTTGGGTTCCAGGCATGGAGCTCAAAACAGATGGCTATAAACATCTGGGAGGAGACTGTACATCAAAGATCCTACGGCACTGCGGTATCTGGTGTTGACCTTGATGAAACGCGCGTTATCTTCATCGGATGACTTGACTAGACGTGTGTTGTAACTAAAAGTGGTGCAGGCGGGCTTGCAATTGCTCATTTGAAACTTGTCGATGACATTGTATATCATTGCTTGCTGGTGGAGAATGTAGTCACCTGATGGTTGCCTCTTGAGTTCTAATCCTATGACGAATTTTGCAACACCCAGGTCTTCCATGGCCCATTTAGATTTGATCTCATCTTTCACGACGTCAATTTCGTCACCGGTTATGATCATATCATCCACATGGAGATATAGGATACTTCTCTTCCCACCTTTGTTCCTGAAGAAGACGCAGGAATCGGCATTTGTCTTGACGAACCCGATCTTGGTGAGATGTTTCTCGACTTCTAGGTGCCATAATCTTGCCGACTGCTTGAGTCCGTAGATTGACTTGTGCAGTTTCCACACTTTCCCTTTTCCTCCGACTTCAAAGCCTTCGGGTTGTTCTAGATAATTTTCTTCGTCTAGCGGGCTATTGAGGAATGCTGCAACAGCGTCCATTTGTTCAATGACCCATCCCATCTGTGCGGCCAGTGAAATGATGAGTCGAAGGGATGCTGGCCTACCGGTGGGTGAGAAAATTTTGTTGAAATCGACACCTTCTTCCTGGGTGAATCCTTTTGCAACGTAGCATGCTTTATATTTTGATATATCGCCTCTGGGGAGCATTTTCACCTTGAACACCCATCACCCGCAAATTACTTTTCGGTTGGCTGGGCGATCGACAAGTGTGAAAACATGGAGTTTTTCAAAACCATCGATCTCCTTTTTACAGGCATCCGTCCATTTGTCTTTGTATCCGGATCTGTGTACATCCTTGAAGGACCGTGGCTCAAACTTGGGGTCAAGTATTTCGGCATTGAAACATTCATCCTTCCCGGTAAGATATGATCGTTTGGGGAGTTGACTGATGCGAGTCGATCTTCTCACGTAGTCCGGATGATCTGGATGGTTCAGAGGTGGTTTAGGTGGTATGACTTTGATTCGGGTCACACTGTTTTCCGCATCGTTGGGTGGAGGTTCTTCATGATCGCTTTCTTCAGATGAACCATCTTCGACAAGTGTGGTAGGCTCATTTTTGTCTTGATGTTCTTTTTCACTTTCTTCTTCGATCACGAAAGTATCAGAAGGTTCATCTCCTTTCTCAGGAAAGCATGTTTCGTCAAATGCAACCTCGTGAGTCACCACCAGTTTATGTGTTTCATAGTTGAAAACCAAGTAATTCCGGTTGAACTCATCAAAACCCATGAGTATTCCTTTTCGCGAAGATTCACTGAATTTGTGTTCTTGCTCCTCACTCCGATTGTGGATGTAGGCTAGACATCCGAACGTTTGTACATAATCCAAATTGGGCTTGTGTTTATACCAGAGCTCATATGGTGATTCCATTAGGCCATTCCTGGAGTGGTTGAATACCCTGTTCTGGACAAAAACAGCGGCATCACACGCCAGGCTCCAGAATCTTGCCGGCACGCCGCTCAGAGAAATGAATGACCTGGCCTTGGTTGCGATCGTTCTCATTTACCGCTCTACTAGTCCATTTTGCTGAGGGGTATATGGGGCGGTTGTGTTTTTGACAATACCGATTGATTCGCAGAAAGGGATGAGTATTGAATTGATGAACTCTCCCCCTCCATCATTGGTGATCATCTTTACTTTGCGGTCACAGTGTCTCTCGGCGCGGGTGATAAAGTTTAGGATGGAATTGAAAACTTCTTCCTTGGTTTTTGATTTCAAGAAGTAAATGAAAGTCATTCGAGTGAATTTGTCAATTATCAACATAAAATAGGAGTAGTTAAAGATACAAGGGATTCGAATAATGCCACTGAGATCAATGTGTACATTATCTAGTGGAAATTGGCTAAGGGGTTTACTTCCAGAAAACGGTAACTTGGTCGATTTAGTTAATTTACAAGTCTCGCAATTTCCGTTCCACTCTCCCTTAGTTTCGACCGTTCTCTTCAGATATTCTTTGTTGATATGTCCTAGTCGGTTGTGTACTGTTGAGATATCAGTAACGTTAGCTTCACGTGTACCATCAGAACTGATTGACTGGGGGTTGCTGACCGGTTCAATCTTGACTACCATGAGATTGTTGATGTAGCGTCCGTGGAGAAAAACTTCATCATCAAACATTACTTGGAATTTGGATGAGTCGTGAGGGTCTGGAATCTCGACAGCTCCTTTTCGCTTGAGGGCTCCGGCAGCGATTAAATTGTTTCAGATGTTTGGGATGTACAGTGATTCTCGGAGAGTGAATTTCTCAATTGAGACTTTGCCGATTGCTTCGACATTCAGCTCTTTGGATCCGGCTGTAATGATTGATTCGAGCTTCTTTGAACTATTCTTCACGCTGTTGAAGAATCGAAAATTGTTGAACATGTGACTTGATGCTCCGGTATCCCAGATGGCTTCAAGCTTCGAATGTACTAGATTAGCTTCGTTTCCGTAGGCTACAAAGACATAGTCTCGCTTCGGCTTTTGGACGGCTTGGGTGAAAAATGCTTTGCCGGGAGGTTTTTGTTTGGTGTGATTGGCGCCGGGACGTGTGAGTCCTCGGCTTTCGTACCATACTCTTTGTGCTTTGGCGTTCTTGGGGCGTTGGAAACATTTGTTGGCTGCGTGAGGTCCGACACAGTTGGAGGGAGTGCATTTCTTGCTTCGTGGTTGCAGCGGCTTGGAGTTGTTGTTGGCGATTTTCAGGTTGCTCATTCCGGAGTTCACTTTTCCCGATCCTGAGAAAGAGAATTTGATGTTCTCGTCTTCGTACTGTTTCAGTGCATCAATTACTGCTTGCGTGGTGATTGGTTTGACTGTTCTTAGGATTGTCCGGACTTCGGTGATATGCGATTCATTGAGGGAATGGAGAAGTCTTCGGCCAAGTTGTGCTTCGTTGATGTGTCTGCCCCGATTTGCTAATTCGCTTTTTAGCTTAGAGAACGCATCAATGTGTGATGTGATTGATGTTTTGAAATCTTGAGAAAATTTCTCCATCTTTGATTGAATGAGGTATAGATTGGCTTCATTGTCGGATTGGTGGAATGTTTTTATGGCTGACCAGAGGTGAGCTGGTCCTTTGACGGATTCGGGTATTTGCCTGATGGAATTGTCTGGCAACGTTTCGTCATCCTCGTCTTCTTCGACTTCAACGAGGGGAATTGTGATGTCATTGTACGCGGCTCGGAATCGTGTGGAATTGTCTGAGTCCATTCTTGAGTATAGGAATTCAAGAAGGCACCTCCGGTTTATGTTGTTGATATCATGGGAGACGCCGGAATCCTCATAGAACTTGTCTACTACGTAACCGTGTAAGAAAAGAATCTCCAGGGATCCGATGATTTGTCTCGACCATACCATGAAGTTATTGTCGGTGAGTGGTTCGATTCCTTTGATTTTGTTCAGGGTGGCTGAGATTCCGAAAGCGTGCGCTTGGTCATTACTGAGGATCATTCCTCCGCGATGGCTTGCGTTCTTAATAGCATTCTTTTGAATCTCGATAATGGGATCTACGGCTTGTGGCATGATGAGGATGATTCGTTGGTGAACTGATGTCTCTCGCTACCATGTAAATAATTGCACAAAGTCGCAATGACAAGATTCCCTGATGAGATAGAATGAAATGAGTCGAGTTGTTCCACGTAACATTCGACTCATTTCAATCCATCTCATCAGGTTAGCTACAACAGAGATGTTTTTCTTTCTTTCATAATGTTCA